GCGGCTCGAAATTCGGTTTCTTTCCGCCCGAAAACCGCCGATCAAGAACTGGCCGGTTCGAGTCTCGCTCACTCTCTTTTTCGCGGTCACGGGCCGTTTTCTAAGGTATCGATGCGACCACCAAATTTAATCAAAGTCGTGGGTCACTGAAGGCACACACTCAATATTAAAAATAGAAAAAATTATGAAACCCATTTTTTGTGGCTTCTAAAAAGCTGTAAATACGTTGATTGAAAAAAAAAGTTCCACAGACAACCGGAAGCATTCTGTGCGTTCGTCGTTTCGCGTATCGTGGGAGTCGCGGGGACGGCGATGGCAGCGGACGACGGACGTGGGACCTCTATTTCAGAACTGTCGTTCGCGGTACCGGCGAATTCTGTCTACCGTTAAAAAAGAAATTTGGAACTGATCAAAATAATTGGTACTCATCCCGTACGACACGCCCGACCACCAAGCCGATTTGCACGAAGACGTCGCCGAGCCGTCGCTCCCTTCTCGTGGCTGAAGACATCGCTCGCGCAAACGTCAAGCACCACGTGTCTACTTCTAGGGGTGTCGCAAACTTTTGTCGAACCGGAATTTTAAGTCGAACTTTCGGGGTTCGACTGGGTCGAACCGGTTCGACGAACCTTCGAACTTTTCACCAGATTCGACCGGTTCGACTTTGCGGACAGTGTGACCAGACCTTGATACACGCATGTCTAGGTTTGGAGAATTTATTTTTATGCAAAGAGTTATTTTATTTTATGAACAGTTGCAATTAAAAGAAACCAATTTTAGTCACTGAAGACGTTAATAACTTAATTGTTTTGTACTGTATTAACTGAAATAACCAATCAGCGGTGCCCTTAATTCATCCCTTAGCCATTACCATCCAATCCGAAGCCAACTGTCCAGCCTGTCGCGCATGGGCACACGAGTCGAACCTCAATACAAGGTCGTCGAAATTTCCGCAAAAAATTCGAAAAAGTCGAACCTGGTCGAACTCGAACCTCGGCCGGTTCGCGACACCCCTATCTACTTCGAGTTGAATATGCACGCGTACGATTTCTTTACTAGGTGCGAATGTCCCCAAAGCGTGGTGCTTCCCGTCTTCGACCCGGGAGTGCTTTTGCTAGAGAAAAATCGACAGCAAACTTCCCAACTTACAGTTTACCGGCTCAATTATTACTAAGCAAAGAGATCCACCTCGAAAGAAATGCCCCAGTAGCTCAGTGGGAAAGACGTCCGGTTCACATGCGGTAGGTCCGGGTTCAATCCCCCGTGAAAACCCCCTTTTTTTTTTTTTTTTTTTTTTTTTCAAACATTTTTTGATGTTTACATATCTTTTTTATTTTTTTTATAATCATCACTGAAGAAACTAACAAAAAAAATAACAAACAAATGTTGTGGACGATAGTTCGCTAAATTAAATGGTATGGGATTTCCGTTTTGACACCTGCGAACTCAATGTAATCACTTTCCACAAAATGCAAGGAGCATATAAATAGGTAGCGTCCACTCTCCGAGGTGCCCGTATATGTTCTACAGGAATCGCAGCCAGCCATTTGTCCCGATCCCGTTGATCTTTCGGAAACTCTGTCGCACAATGCCACTTTTTTTCGGATGCAGGACATGTGAGCCAGCTCTTCACGCAACATCTTGGGTGTATTCTTTTCGGAGCCGATCATGGAAATTCACCACGGGCACTCACTACTCATCTCCAACTCCTCAATGTACAAAACAACTCATCTTGGAGTACAGAACAACGTGCGGAACAAACATAACTGCAAAAGTATCGCACGGCGAGCAGTTCCCGCACGCCGCATGTCGCGTCGTCTTCTACGGAGAGGAGAAAAAAAAAAGACAAAAAACGCACGGTCGGGTGTAGCCACGTGACTTCCGCCACTCACTTCCTTCTCTCCACTTCACCGACCTCCGTCGGGTTTCGGTTTCGGTTTCGAGCAATTGGGTCTTTTGGCTTTATTAAAAAAATACGCTACTCTGTTGCAAAATATTAATTGGGTAGTCCTCCGACACCATAATGAAGCGCCTGGCAAAAAATGAAAAAATTTTTTTGAGGGGTGTCAGTGTCCCTTTAAACCAACGCCGTCAAAATCGACAGTCTGATATCCTTCTTATTTCTATTCATAAAAGTGAAATTTCTCGTATTCAAGACGACACACTCAGCGCTTGACCGATCGCGGGAGGTCGACCACTGCGACGCCTTTGGTCACTCACGTCGCCAAAAGTAGTTTCGATGACAGCTTGTTCGCGCTAACAGTGACGCGGAGTGTACTTTTATAGCTGTAGTTAATGCATTAATACTAAACAATAAAACAATATACAAAATAAATGCTGCACGCGGTCCTAAACCGGGTGAAATCAGGTCGTTTATTTATTTATTTCTTTATTTCAATTTTTGCACATGCGCACAACGGTCGAAGGTTACAGTCGTGCGTTCGTCGAACTTCGAGGTTCGAAAAGGTCAAATTCGGTCCAACTCTAAAGCTTCGCAGGCTCGCAACATCCCTATTGTGGCCTCAAGACTCACGTGCGTGCCCACGCGAACAAACAGCTGTCCATCCGCCAATATCTCGGTTTAAAGGGGTCATGAAATGATATCGGATTGGAATGTTCATGACTTTGCAGAGGCGCAGTCTGGCTAAAGTATACTCGCACAGACCGCCACTGATTCAGAAGATTCTTTGTCGCAGTGATATTGCGAGGATAAAAGGGAAAGGGGAAAGTCTTGCTTTCGCAAAGCTTTATGATGTTTTCTTTCTTTTGAATCGAAGTTACTCGCCTGACGACAGTCGAGTGCGGCTCGCGAATAGGACACGAGAACAGTGGTTGTTTATCGCCCTAATTAAATTAGGGCGATAAATTACTTTCTTTTTGTTTTTACCACTGCGTGTCGTCGTCTTCGGTCACTTCACACCGGGCGTGCACACCTATCGCTTGTCACCGGTCCGAATCTAGCATTTCTTTTATTTTAAACTAATTTAATGTTTTTTTGCTTTTTTTTTTTGCTTTTTTTTTTTTTGTTTTTTTTTTTTTTCAAACGAAGTTAAACATTTTTGTCTCTACCTTGGGACAGTTTTGTGTGTCTCTGAGCGTATACACAGAGAGCCCGTGCCGTCATATCTTGAGCGCAGTCCGAAGTCTAACAGTTTCCCAGTTCACATGGTACTTGATGACGCGATCAAATATCCATAGCAGTATCTGACTAACGAAGAGAGAAAAATCATGAACAAAATGAGCAAGAATCACGTTTTTCACTACATAAAATTCGATGTCATTTTTGTCATTCATAGATTCCACGTCATGGCCGCGGGATATATGGAACTTTTTTTTTTTCTGTATTTACGTCTCATGATTATTCGTCACCACCTGCAGGTTTGAATCATATTCCAGTGAATAACGATCGAGTTTTAGAATTCTAGCAATATAGACTGTTCCTTCCCTAAAAGTTGACCACGAACAAAACATCCAGGCTTTGATTTCAGTTTAGTTTAATAATAATTGGGGTTGTGTAGAGATTTATACAGCGTGTAGTTGGTCAGCCATTACAAAGTTGCGACGAGTCACTCGCTGTAGTTGAGCAATTTAGGCAGTTGCGGTACAACCGCTAGCCTGGGGTCTTTAACGTGCACCAGGCAGTAGTGATACACGACCGCATGCCTGTACGATGCTCATCCAGATCGAAACGGGCAGAGGTGGGGATTGAGCCCAGGATCCCTCGGTTCTGCAGCGCGAGCTTTCGCTCCACGTGCTCCGAGCTGGTGTGCGCTAGACCATTCAGCTACCAACCCTCTTTTAGTTTGAAAAAGAAATTTTTATGCAGAGTGGATGTCTAAATAGCTTTATAAATTATTTTTAACAATCTTTGCCCCTCGGCTCTCTTTCCCTGACGATTGAAGAAATTAAAAAAAAAAAATTGTTTTAACCGAAAAGTTTAAGAATGAAAAGTTAACTATAAACCGATATCGCTGACGTTCTAGCATCGAAACATAGTCACACTATGCTCACGCACTAAAGAAACTGTAGAAAATCCCGTTTTAACTACAAAACAACCAAATGGTTTCAGAAAATGTAAGCTCGTCATCGACTATACCCGAGTCTGCAAAAGCACACCCCCAAAAAATACGCCTGTGTTCCTTGGGAGTTGTATATTTATTTTATCGTCTTATTTTTTTTTTTTTTTTTTTTGATTTGTAACATTGCATAAGTAATTTATTTTATATAATTTTGCCTATAATCGCAAAACGAGTGTATTGTGAGTCACAGTTTTAGAAATGCAGGACGTGGCTCATTATGTTGACGCTTCTCGCTGATCGTGATTGGTCCATCGACGTACTGATCGGTTCATGCCGCAACCTGATTGACTGAGGAGCGATAATAAGATCTTACTATAGTCAGCTATCGCTGACTACACTCTAAAAAAAGCCCGTGCGTCTGCTTTCCCGCACAACACTCGGAGAGCCAATCACCGCAAGTTACGGAGGCAGCTCAGCGAATGGCGGTGCCGAAACATGTGTTGAGACCAAAAAACGCAGTATGAGTTGTGACATTAAGCAATGCAAGCGCGACGTTTTGCCTTGCTTAATGTCACAACTCAGTCTGCGTTTTTGGGTCTAAACATATGTTTCGGCATCGTCATTCGCTGAGCTGCCTCCGTAAGCTGCGGTGATTGGCTCTCCGAGTGTTGTGCGGGAGAGCAAACTCACCGGCTTTTTTTAGAGTGTAACTTTACGCCAATCACCGAGTTTCTTCAAGCTTTGTTCAATGCTTTTGGTGGACCCCCCCCCCCCCCCCCTCCCTTTTTCTCCCGTATACATGTATCGCGAAAACGATACTTTTTGTCACGAAAATAGACCATTTCTGACACCGTCTTCAAAATCTTGGCGCGCGCGCGCGCGCGTGCGTGCTATGACCGCAATTTGACGGGACTTTTGGTATCTGCGTCTCCTTGGAAACTGACTACCGAGAGATTCTGCCCGAAGCCAAAGGTTACTTTCCGGCTCCGGGATATCGCACACATTGGCAGTATACAGCGCTGCTCCCACGAACAATGGCGCGACGTGGCGTGCAGGCGTCAGGCTCAGCGGCTTAGTCCAAGAAGTCACCCCCATCCCTTCTGCTCCCAGAAATTAAGTGACACTCAGGTACGTCATAATCATATTTACCCCGAAAGTATTCATTTCACGCACGAAACGAAAGAAAACTTCATAAAAGTTGCATGCGTTATTCGTAAATGCAGACTCAACAAAGGCACCACATATATATTATACAAAAATCACACCCTCACAAAAAAGAAGAAAAAATTACAAGTTGAAAAAAAAAAAAAAGTACGCGTCGCCAAAGTTTCCGGCCTAACCGTTATCTTATGTAAAAATTAGTAGTAATGTTGAGACCCTCGAATACGTGGAGCTGATTAATGCCAGTTACCCAAAACGGGCTTCACTTTCCCATTAAAATTTTCAGGAAATCGCTTCCAACTTTTGAATGAAATGAATGAATGAAGTTTCATTTCGACATTCAGAAAATGTCGGGGAGGAAGCAGCAAAAGCTTGTCGAAGCTACCTGACGAGGTTTCAGTCCCCTTAACAACGTTACAGCAGTCGCAGCAGCAATACTTTGAAAGTAGTACCGAAACTTTGGCATCTGATTCGAACCCCTAGCGTTACATTTGGGAAACGAATGAGCGTTCGGCAATGTGTAATTCAAACTTGCTGTAAAAAAAAAAATTACAAAATGATTTTTGTGTTTTTTTTTTTTTTTTTTTTTTTTTTTTTTGGGGGGGGGGGGGGGGGGGGGCGATATCGTACTCTCTAGGTCCCGAATTCAGTCAGATAGCGGCCTGCCTTCTGCTTTCTGATGGAGAACAATCGATCACCAACTCGTCTGAAAATAGTCTTTTATCCTGTGATCCTTGTCGCGTGTTATTCTCAAAACCGCTGCTCGTGGCGTACCTGTTCTGGCGTAATTGTCGCAATATTTGTGACGTCAATACCACACGAAACAGGCAAAGTCGTCTGAGATAAACAAAAAAGGTTTGTTTGAAACAGAGTCGCTTACGACGCTGTATTTTGGCACCCGTATACTCGTTCCTTCTACTGTTATCTCACTTAAAGGTGTTATCTTTGTAGCATATGCCCTTATGGCGCGCTCTGAACCTGACCCATGGCTGCGTCGTCCCAGAAGTTACCTAATGGTTGCGTCAAAGCTTTGCAATATCCATACTTCTGCGGTACTCATTACAAGTAATCAAAGTACTTGTCCTTAACTTTGTAATCGTTCGATTACTTTTCAAGGTAGTAATTACGAGAAGAACATTATTACTTTTGGAAATATTACAATTAAAATTGCGTTAATCGCTGAAACAAAATTGCGTTATCTGCTAACAATGCGGCAAAAGAATAACTGTAAATATAAGGTACCATTTCATTAAGGAGTTTTTTATTGCTGTAATCCCCGCCATACTCGAACAAAAAACAATTTCATATTTTGTTATTTGGTTAAGAACTTTACTTGATTGTTTGGTTTTGACTTTATTGCAATAGGACATCGCATTTCTATTTTTGTTTCGTTCTTTTGCGTTCTGATTGTAGCAGTAAAACGTTACCTATGTATAGCTGACGGGTGAAGTAAAAGGTAGTAATCTAGCTCAACGCTCCGATTAGTTTAAGTAACCACGGTTAGTTTCCATTCTAACTGATTACCGTTTTCAGTAACGTATACAAGACTGAACCACATATAGTACAAGCACCCAGGCGTTCCCAACTGCATGTGCATAGTTTAATTTTATTTATTCCTTTGAGCTATGTACAATGTCGAGGAGACACGGATAGGGGCCTGTGTTAGCTTGAGGGTGAGCGGCTAGTACGTGGCACTACAACGCAAGGGCCGCGTCTCCTGCCTGAAACAGGCGGATTCAGCAACGAGCACCGAAACATCTACGAAGAAAAAAGTTGTATAGCGCGCAAACCCTTATCATGAGCTCTTGCCGCGTTTGTAGATTTCTAAAGCTGTAGGGCGTTCTTAGCAAGTTTCGTTGTGACCTCCGAGTGACCAATAGATTACTCATATACAACTCTCTGCTCGCTTCACGCCTAAATTATATTCGTCTCGATCGGGAAACCACACCAGCAACTAACACATATAAACGCCATGTTCTTAAAAAGAAAAAAAAAAGGCACTTAGGTCTATCAATAATGTATGATATGACACTCATACAGAACTTCTTTTTAAATCACTGCATCTCATCTCAGTTATCTATCTTTATGCTTACACCTTAATTCTTCGACACATAACAAGCGGAAAAATGAAAATTCACTTAATTGACTAAAAAGCTGATTTCACGCGAATTTTAAATTTTTATGCCGTTTTAATACAGACGCTTGGAAAATACCACACTGCAGAAAAATATTACGAAATATGGCTGCTACGACATAACGTCCCATCATTACTAACTATTCATTAAGAAACAACATCACCGTGGAAGCGCTAACACCACGTTCTATCAAAATTATGTTTGTAACATATTCAGACATGTGTAGACGGTAACAATGATCCATTTTTCATATTTGTGAGTTTTATATTTGCTTTATATTGTTCTTTTGTTGTTCAATTGTGTGTCTGTGTGTCTTTATTTTTATTTTTTTGTACCTTCTGTTTGCCTCTGCCGAGGAAACTGAGGCGGGCCTCGTCAAGCCAACATATATTGGCTTTTTTGCCCACGCCTCCGTCGCCTGTACAAATATATAGACAGAGGTAAACTGAATTTGAATTGGAGTTTGAACTCTCGTCAAATCTCCGCGCCAAGAAGGTTCCATACCTCCATTGGACATTCCGAACAGCCATAATTAAAAGTGTACAGATCGGGAAATGTTTAGTTGGAGTGTTCGCAACACTCTGCAGTTAAAGAATTGCTCTCTGTCAAAGTCAACATAGCGTCAAATATTTGTTGTATGATTCCTCGGTGGTTCACTGGCCGAACGCTTCTTGCGAACCTTTGCAAATCCTCACCAAGCAACATTGATGGCCGCCATTCTTTTGGGCACGATGAATGTGATTGAATTGATTGAGTCAGTCTTTGCCGAACGCGGACACAGCGTTGATTCTCGAGGCGAGCTAAGCCGATCTCATGCCGATCGCTGACGCAAACTACGCGTCCAATACGTGCTCAGAATACGTACGTGATGAAACTATGGCCAACTCGGATGATTGGCGCCGCATCTTCTGAATGGCGCGCACACTTTTGAAAACGCGGAACAGTTAGCCACGGACATTTTGAACATGCTTTGTTTCTAAGCATTATATTTGTCGCTAAGATCCAATCACCCACTTTATGACCAAGAAACGGCAACTTCCAATGTTTCATGACTAATAATGACAACTTCCAATGTTTCTCAATGGGGTTTTGAAAAGGGTCTTTAACTCGACATACCAAAAATACTGTTTGCAGACACACGAAGAACACCTTAGCATTCCCTTCGTGCACATTTGTGCGTCATCCACTGGTCACAAGAGACAACACTTTACGAAGATGGAAAAGACCGTTACAATAAAAAAAAAGTGCTTTACAACGTTTCACCAAATTTCTTCTATTTTTTTTTTTTTTTTTCAGAGATGGCAACCAGAGGTGTTTGACAAGGCTAGCAGCCACCGGCAAATCATGGACAGCGAAAGCGACGTCTGCCCCCTGGTGGAGATATCCGATGGAAAACCGCTCATGGCAACAAAGACCGAACAGGTACGAGTATCAGGGTGTCTAGCGACCGGGAAAACCGGGAATTGTCGGGGACATTTTAATTACCGGGAAAACTCAGGGAATTGTCAGCGATATTGTTAAAAAGCAAGCCCAGTCAGGGAAAATGAGCCGGAAACGCCATCGAGTGCCCTGAGCAAAAACTTGAGGACTTGGGGGGCAGAAAAATAGGCAATGAATTCTGCTTAGAATGGAGCTCGGGCTCTGCTCACCCGATGTTGAGTGTGTTACCCGATGCAAAGAGAACAGCCGACAAATCCTGTCTAAGCCTTTGATTGGATTGGATTGGATTGGATTGGATTGAGAGCGCGACACTAGGCTAGATACCAGCTAGAGCTACTAGATTTAGAAACAAATGGGAAAGCCGCAGACCCCAATTCAATCCAAGCATTAAGCCGAAGGTATCCGAAAGTGTGCATGTGGCGGCCATGCTGCCAATCGGTTCTTGACGTGTGTGGTTCAGCGTCCTCCTTTCACCGTGTTTCCGGAAGCGACCTCTTCACTGACGATGTCGGTGGCAAGAAAGCGCTCGTTTAATCCGGACTGGACGAACCCGAATATTTCGGAATATGCAAGTTAGATTAAGCCCGTGCAAAATTGTCCTCCCAGTGCTCAGTGCTGAATGCCTTGCGTTGTAATGGTGTTGTATATTTGACCGCCTTTACAGTGGTCAGGGAATTTCTCCTGAAGTCAGTGAAAACGTGAACACATCAGGGAATTTCAATATCTTAATTTGGTAGACACCCTGGAGTATACAAATTTCGCATCATCCATTCGAGTTGCACCGAAGTCTCGGAGACGCTTACAGACCATTTCCTAGCGGTTGTATCCGCTTCTTACGTATGCACTTAAAGTTAGATGCCACTCACCCTAACCCAGATCTAGAAAGCCGTGAACAAATAACTGATCTAAAACTTAAAAGTGAACATCCTGGCGTGCCGTAAGCATACGAAGTGTCAAGCTCAGTGCCATAATGTACTTTAAAGCAAACTGAATCGTTAAAACTGAGCCCACCTGAACACTTTTTAACTCATGTTCCGACAAAACGCGCTACCTTTTGTTTTAATATAAAATAAAAGGAATTTATATTAAAGCAGTGTTTCACAAGGTGTGGGTTGCGACTTCAAGTTGTCGTGACCCACAGACAAGAAGTATATATAACCGCAAATAGTTTTGGAACTTTAAAATAAAAAGTGAGCTTGGCTTTTTTTGCGGTAGCGTGGATGAAGACGAAGCTCAACGTTGAGCCGGAACTGAGAGTAGAGGTGTTCAAACTCCGTCCTATAATTTTGAGACACTGCGCTCTAACAAACAAGCTCGCTCTGCTCATTAGCAACGGTCATTCCTGCTGGCACGCATTTTTCATTTGTGGTTTCTAACCCAGATGAATAAGTCCGACTATATTAACTGTCAAATATAGTTTGAGCGCTAATTGTTTGTACTACTGTTCACGCCGTGAAATCGAAAAACCGGGACTAGGGCTTGGGGTTCGCGAAGTAATATTTTATATATCAGTGAGTAGCAGTGGTAGCAGAGTTTGGGAAGCACTGTGCCTTAAGCTACTTCTTGAGCTTGTGAATAGCATGTTAGAAATGTACTTTCAATGTATGCACTTTAGGTGTGAGAGTGGGCTGGCGGTTGCAGGGTGTTTGGGAGAAAAAAAACGTGGTTTTCTCACGACAAAGTAAAAAAAACAAAAAGAAACTGGCCATCGTCGAACGCTTAGTCTCTTTTTAAATACAATACTAGAGACCTGAACCAGATGTCAAAGTTTCAGAAATTTTTGCTCTCCTATTCAAAAGTTATTAAGTAATCTTATTTTTCAATCAGAATTAGCGTCTGCTCCTGCATGGTAGCAGACGCCATTCATCGCCATGTATTCCAGCGTACTGTCAACGATATTTTCTCATTGAAAATTGCGGAAAATCGCTCATAACGTTTAAATCAAATAACAGTAAGTTCTAAACTGTAGTAGAGTAGACAGTTGGGCGAGTTGATTATTGGATTAGTTATTGAACATAGTTACAGTTGCGCACACCCCTGTTGGAAAATTTCGATGATGGAAAGATGACGGAAAAGGCTCATACAAGCATAACCGTAATATGGGACATCCTATACAAGCGAATCGGCGGATCCAGTATAGTGGATTAAGGCGGAACGACACAGGTAGGCGGAACCATACAAGCGTGTCGTAGTATGGGACATCCTATACCAGCGTAGTGTAATATGGCGGAACCATCTGGAACCATACATGCATAACGTAATATGGGACAACCTATACCAGCGAAAAGGCGATACCAGCACGTTGGAGCCATATGGCTCCAACATGCTGGTTTCGCCTTTTCACTGTTGTACAGGCGATTTAGTTTTAAGCTTTACATATATGTTTAGAAAGGTCGTGAAAGCTAAATTAATGCGGTTTGTGCAGGCGAGTTATACGGCCAGGCGTACGTAGTATAGGGACCTAATCGTAACGATCATTCAGATAATTAAATACAATTTGTTAATTAACTTTTTAATTAGTGAAAATGAAAATATGGTTTCAACATGCTCTTGTCCGTGCATGCAGGACTCGCCAGTCGAGTCCGCACCGTCGCCGCTCCACCGCCAGCCCACGAGCGTGGCCATGGTCATCCTGCTGTCGTCTTTTTTCATCACCGCCGATGTGGGCAAGATGGTGTCCAGCTACGCCCTCCGCTACTACAACAACGGCGAGTACCCGGTTCACCAGACGCTCCTGGTGGCCCTTTCCGAAGGCTCCAAGTGCCTGGTCACCACGGCCGTTCACGTGTGGGTCACGGGCTCATTCCGCATGAGGCCTTCCATCAAGTTCATCCTGCCGTCCGTCATCTACATGCTCACCAACAACATCTTCTTCTACGCGCTCTACTTCGTCACTCCTCCGGTGTGGCTGGTCCTGGTGCAATGCAAGGTGGTCCTCACGCTTCTGGTCTACAAGTGAGTTGGCTCGTGAACGTCCGCGGTGTTACAGCGCCACGCAACGCGTCTCCGACTGATGGGTTTGCTACGTCCCCAAATGGGGTCCCTTGGTTTCCGCCTTATGACTTCACAGAAGTGTAGTGCTCTCGACTGTCTCGATCCTGGAGGAGGCAGGCCTGTACTGCTGTAGCTCGCTTTGCAGCTGGACAATCCACGTAAGCCTCCATAGAAAGCTGGAGTTGGGACGTTGAAGATGAAGGCTACACTCGCGTTCGCTCGCACTTGATTTTTCAGGAATTTCGACGATCAACCGTCAGGATTGCGACATCCCACAGCGTGACATTTCGGCTGTTGTGACGTCATTAGTTGCCACTTCGGGATCACTTTCGATGCACGTGTACAATAAGACGCTAAACACACCAGTAGTAGGAGACGGACTTCAGGCATCGTATATATGCCCAGGCCCCAGCGTGCGACGTGTTGCGCTTTGTAGTTGCCTTGTTCGGTCGCTTGGCTCCAAGTTTGCAATCGGTTCAGATTGACCCAGGAGTCTGATGACCAGCTACTTACGTAGATTGTTCCAGCGAAAAGTTTTTTCTAAGGTCGCAAAACGTGTTTGAGATACGGAGTATAAGATATTTAGAAATGTAATGTAGACTAAATGTCTTTGCAAGATACCAAAATAGTACCAAAAGTGTTTGAAATACAGTATATTGAGTAGGGTATTTAAGACAGGCACAGGTCTGGTGTACACTTTTCCTAAAATATGACACCACCATTAATACATTCCTCTTTCGCAAGCCTTCTTCCTGCCTCTCTAACTATTCCAGTATAAACGGTTTCGCCAATGACTCGTAGACCTCGCCACCCGAGGCAATGAATACAGAACTGGGAGCGGGACGCAAGAAGTCTCCTGTGAATAAGTCCAGCCTTCGTATACGCTCGCAGGTACGTGTTCAAGCACTCCATCAGCGCGGCGCAGTGGACAGCCGGCTTCCTCATCGTGGCCTCGGTGCTGGGCAGTCAGTTGGAGGAGTTCAACCAGGGTGACCTCCGAGGGAAGCTCATAGCCGTCGGCCTCGGCCTTCTCTGCGGCACTCTGTCCACCATCGCGGCTGTATACACCGAGGTGAGTCGATCGGTATACAGACGTTTGCAAGTACGGCCTCTGGGCTCCGGCATCGTGCTGCTGGTGTGGGTAGATCGTCCGATAGTCAAGCACTGCTGAGGCGTACCCACGGTCAGTTTCCACACTGACGCCCAAGCAAAGCGTTTTCCTTCCTTGGTCGCCAGACTATAGCTCTCGAAGCGCGGCTGCTTGCAAACGTCTATAGGGTTCCATGGCGGCAGGCATTTTAAACTATTTGTTCACGTTTTAATGCATAGCAGATAGACTATCTTCAAAACACCGCCAAACAATTACATTTCTTGGGCACGAAGCCTGCGGTTGTATCCGAGTCCTTGTTGAACGCTGACGCACGGCTCGCACTTGATACGAGTTCAACCGAGCTCTCACCGAACGCTAACACAGCCCTCGATTCCAATACGTGCTCAGAGTACGCCCAAACAATGGCAGACTCGGATAATTTGCGCAGCAACTACTGGATGACGCTCACCATTGAAAAGGGCAGGGCTCTAAAAAGGGTCTATTGCATTCTAACAGATACTATAGACACGTCTGTCCGTCCCTTTGGACGGAAGGACGTGGAAGGCAACAGAGTCGGCTTCCTACACGATACACCTGCGCTTCCAACTATATGCGCATGTTCGCACGGGTCGCGTGTCAGCAGGATATGGCTCAACTCACTCGACGCTCCCAAGCCATAGTTTATACGTTTGGGCATGGTCCGTATTATCGTATTAAAAAAAGAGTACGCAAAGGGCCACGAAGAGGCACTTCGTGAAGACCCGGTGGTTCTGCATATGAAGGTTTGACCTATAAATCGAAATGGAACTGCGTTTTTTTTTTTTCTTCTTAGCTCAAATCGTTTTGTAGAGACGCGGCAATTCTAAATTGTGTGACGTCACGGGGCCGACACACAATCTGTTCTAATCTGGCCATAGATAACACCTAGTAAATTAAACTCCATAACAATCGTGTCAGAAGTGGGATTTCTGGTATGGCAACTCATGCAACCCGGAAGGCACCCTGTCAGGATGAAAGTCCTCTGTGACGTGGCCGGCACCGGCGTCTCGTGGAGCCATAGGATCGCAGCTGGATTACCTGAAGCCGCAAATCGTCGTGCCGTACCTTCCACGGGCAAGTAACGACTTCGCCATGATTTCCACGACTATTTTGTGGCCGTGAAATGAAGATCCTGCGTTGGCCGATGACCACTTTTGCATCCCAGACTTTTAAGCAATCGAGGCGCGTAAGTGAGGGCTGGTCTTGAAATCTTCTTTGACAGCCGTTGTGACCATTAAACGGATGAGGCCCTAAGCGGGAATCTTCTAAAAAAGTGTTCCATCTTCTCCTGGGTTTTGGCTTTACCGGCGCATTTCACTTTCGGTGATGATTTCCAAAATGCGAAATGTGCAGTGATGTTTTCAGCCCATATGATCTGTGCCATCATCAGAGTTATGATCAGACATGTAACCAGGGGTGACGAAAACAGAAGCTATAGCGGCGGCCAAGTGACAAGTCTTCGCGCATCAACTTCGAAAAGTGCCAATGTGCTGGCTTTTGGTGTTGCGGAAGAACTGTGACTTTGGCGTGAAATTCGTGAGCGTGCAGAAGGGCATCGGCAGCGACACCTGCGAAAAAAACTGTCTATCTCTAATGGAACGTGGCGAGGTTGTTCAGCAGAATATGGAGTACAGTGTACCAGAATACTTGGGTAGTGTTGGAACCGGAGGGGCTCGCCTGAAGCGCGTGGTATTGATCGCGACAGGTGTCGACACCGGCGCGTTATGCAGAAGGTATGCGCATGCGCGGCTGCACGCGCGAAAATATGAATCTTGGGTGCCGCTTTGGTGGAGTGCACATAGGATTTCTGATACAGCTACGACCTGCCAGCGGTCGTACCGCGGCACCAATTACGCTGCGGCACGATCGTTAGCAACATGATGCTTCAATTTATTGGACGGTACAAGCTACATTACCCTTCTTTTACATAAAAACAATTGCGACTTCAAAGAAGCGGATTACAAGTTGCTTCAGCGTAGAATTAGCTGCGACTTTCGGTTTATCGGATGGTGAGCATTTTAAATGAAATGCCCATTTCCTTGGTCGCAAAGACCGAACATTAGATATTTAAAAAAAAAAAAAAAATACTCAAAAGCAGCTTTTTTTTTTTTTTTTTTTTTTTTCCTATCTTATTTTATAATGGAACAAAACGGCACATACTAAAGTCCGAGATTGTTTCAGTATGTTTTTCATACCTCAGGCTAACTTCTCTGTCTTCTTTTCTGCCCGTCTTCTTTTTCTTCACCTTAATCAGCTCACTTCAATGTCACTCATTCTTGTGTTCATTTATGCGACGAACCACCCGAGCGACGGTCGCAAAAGGGTGAGAATATTTTATTACTTCATGGCTGCCTCGATCATCCGAGGATCACCCGACGCTTACTTGTAAGAAATGGCTTATAAGCCGCGACAATTTTTATCACGCGTTTTAGCATTGAACTTAAGTCCAAAAACTGAAACAACGTGGGCTGAACAAGTAATGCTTTATAAGATTCAAAGAAAACCAACTATTTCACATCATTTTGAGCAGAAAACATGAGCACACGTAGATCAGGCAAGGAAAAAGTTGTAATAGTCTACAGCACGGCATTGAAATAATTGTTACAATGTGCAGCGCATACATGGTTACAATATGCAGCGCATTATCCTTTTGAGGGTAAACCATCTGAAACCTACACGCTCATAACAATACATTTAACCGACAGCTGCTTTCTTACAACCAGGTAAGTCTCGCCTGAGCTGGGTATTTGAAGGGAAAGACCATGCATGGTTCCACAGGGGGCGTATCTGTTTCACGCAGACATACAGGGTGTTTTTGTTTTATTCTTTACAGAAGTTTACATGTTTTACAAAAAAAAATACGTGACAGCAGTGGCGTCACGAGGGTCAGCGGCACCCGGGGCGGTAGCCCGCCGCGATCCCCCCCTCCCTCCCTCCCTCCCCTCCCTCCCCCTCCCCCTCCCCCTCCCCCCCCCCCCCCTCCCTCCCCCCCCCCCCCCCCCCCGGCTCTCGTGGCCCGCCTCGACACCCCCCTTAGCGCTGTACCCGAGGCGGTCCGCCCCTGACAATAAATGGGTGAATAACCTTTGCAATGTTTAATAATTAACCAAAATCTGTGAGTTAACTTGTTTATTAACGGCTTAATTGGCCATGGTGCAATTGCTGTTTTAAAAGGAGTCATTATTAAAGGCAAACACAATTTCGACAATTCGCGAAAAGGTAACGAGGTTCGCGAAATTTATCGTAAAAGTTTGCCTTTCTTCGCTTGATTCAGAAACCGCGTTATGAAAATAATACATAGAATAGTGACTTAGTCGTCTTGATGTGTGGCGCCGGCGAGTCCACCGAAGACACGCTGTCGAGGTAGTGAGGAGGGGACAGAAACAACTGTGTCATTCTTCTACGCGTCAATATCAGCACATTCTCATTCGCGCTTTCAGCGTGCGGTTTTTTAATTAAGCAAAGAAAGGCAAAATTTTAGCGATGAATATCTCAAAGCTCGTTGTTTGTTCGCGAACTTTCTAAATTGGGTTGGCCTTTAATAATGGCACCCTTTAAAGCTGCAATTGCAACAAGGCCTATTAAACCGTTCATCAACCATTGGCCTACCGCAAAAATTAAAAAAAAAAAAAAGATTTGAAAATATCGATTTTTGTATGTGCCCTATACTCTGTTTCACCTTCTGTTGTACCGCAGGAAATGCTATCATGCGCGAGCTCCTTGCTTTAGGGCACATCTCGGCGGCACAAGCTCTCGTGCGGTAAGAGTAGCTCCCAACGCTATGAGCTCGCGCTTCTAGCCTTCGCTGCGGTACTACATAAGGTGAAACGGAGTGTATAAAATGTGCTACCAACACGTGCACCGCTCAAAGTAAAAAAAAAAAAAAAAAAAAGATGGGCTGCGCGAGTTTTTCCGGATAACTCGACTACAGCGCCGCCATGAACTGTCAATACACGCGCCCTCACGAGCTCCCGTTGCCGAGCCGCTCCGGTCCCAACACTACAGTGTACTACCCAACACTATCCAAGTATTGTAGTACACTGTATAGACCTCTCAATGTTTACAAATCCACAGCTCAGCGTGCGATCTCCACAGCTCAGCACGCGCGTGTGCGTCGCTTCGGAAAGCGAGCAAATCACGCGCGATACGCACGAACACTGAAAATGAAACCGGCCAGCAGCCCTTTTCTGGAAAGGTCCATATGGAGTATTCACTGGCGGCCATAGCTGCGTGCGCGAATGGTGAGCGCGTGCTGAAGGCGAGCTTCCACAGTTCTTTTGCAACGTGCATTCCGCACCATCAAGAGTAGCAGTCTTAGCAGCCTATTAATGTGAGCTCGTTCTGCGCATGCGCTCTAAACAGTACCCACAAATATGGCGTCCAATGAATACTCCCTATAAACCACCCTAGAAAGAAACATCACTAAAAAAACTCAGGGGGGAATTCGGTTCGGCTGGACGGACCAAATGTTACGGAGTTTAATTTACTGGGTGCTATCCATGGCCAGATTACAGCAGATTGTGTGTCGGCCACGTGCCGTCTGCGCGCGCATCGTCGTCGTCCGCGGTGGATACTGGCACGCGCCTCAGCAGCACCGCTACAATATGGATTGATCAATGAATCGGAATGGAACTGGAGTTCTTCTCTTATTAGCTCAAAGATTTTGAAATTACTAATACAAATGGATTGGAGTACGCGGGAACGGATGCATTAGATCAATGAGTACAAGACTTGTGCCCGTTACTTCAAAAATGTAATGGATTACAATTACAAATTACCTAGCCCAAAGTGTAATGGATTACAGTTACAAATTACTTTCGCTGAGAAGTAACGGATTACTTTACTCGTTACGTTACAAATTACATTCACGTTACTTTTCCAGTACGCTTATCAAGAAAAACAAAAGAAACAATTTTGATGTTTTGAAAAATGTTCTGCAACCACTACTTCTCATTTCTCATAAACCCGCATTATGGTATTCATTGTAACAATAAAATATTGTATTTAAGAGAAAGAATGTAGGTGCACTTCGTTCACCTGTAAGCTGACAAGGCAGCGAAAGCTGCAACCACACCCGCCATCCCGCTAGCTTACAGCGACCGGGAATGATCCCTGGAATTCTGCAGACAAAGCTAGCAGTGCGCATGCTCAGGTGCATCGTCTACCTCCGCGAGGAGACGCGGAGGTAAGGAACCGATCTACGAAAGCTCCCATTTGAAACGGGACTTCAAGTGGTGTAAAAGTCAAAAAGAACTAAACACGAAGAGGTTTTTCAGAAGAAAAATACGATGGAAGGCAACGGAAAGAAGCAAAGTCTACTCGGCGTTGTCTTCGTGATCTTTGTTTTTTAATTGTATTTTCACGTATTTTTAGTGATTCTAGTAACCGGTCAGACGACAAATCGTTTTCTTTTTTCGGTTATTCTTCTCTTCACGATGGTTTCTATTTAAATTTGTTGAACTTGCTATCTCTACGCCTCTGAATTGCCTGCTCACATTGCTCCAACTTCTTTATTATGTTCATATTTCAACAAAAAAGTAACGAATAATTAAAGTAATCTGTTACCAGTACTTTGTAACGAAATTGCAGTACAAGTTACTGCCGCAAAAAAGTAACGTGACAATTGCGAAATCACTTAAAAAAAGTAACGGTTTACAAGTAATCCGTTACTTGTAACGGATTACTTCCCAAGTATAGCTAACTTATGCATATATAAAATATATGGATATAGCAAAGGCAATAAAAAGTTCTAGTACATCGTTCCGATACCTCCGGTAACTGTAGGCCTTACGATCCGTAGGCATAAGCGTCAGAGGAGTTCGGAATATCGGCTATCGTTATCTGATGCATTGGAGCGATCTACGAACACTCTCTATTGATATATCGAAGTAAAGTTGAAGTATGCTGATGCACTGATATGCTACAGCTACTGATATAATTAAGTGTTTTCTTTTGAATGGAACTCACTATAGAAAGCTTGTATTGTGTACTGAGGGAAACCAGGAAATTCCCCTAACTACACGGATCATTCTAATATTTAAAAATTGACGGCGCTGGCACGGTTGAGGTTCTAGGTTTAGCACACCATGACACGTAAACACACGTTCGTGCGTACCCACACGGCGTCTTCAATTCAACTATATATTATAGCTATAGTTAAATATTTCTTTTCACCATCGGCAGAAAATATTTTCGTTTTAAAGAAAGATACTTCATAAATTAAACGATCTGTTCGGTATAGCGTTATCAATCGCAGCGGACACCAGGTTACGAGTCTAAAGTTATAATTAGCAAGTTAATTACCTAACATCCACTAATTCATTCGAAACATTCACCTGAGCTGGCACATTCCAATACGAGATGAGACGACTGCCATCAAAGTACCTAATCTAGTTGTTGGTGTAGAATCAAGCTTTTGTACTCTAGTTGCTCTGCAACAAGATACCGGGACTTGATGTGAACGAGCGGCGGAAGACCTTCCCGGAAGACGTTAGCCTCCGTAGCTAGCGCGCGCAGTGGTGAGCCACCGCGAGCCGATCGGGTCACTTGGTCGAAAAGGCGCGCTAAACCCTGCTGTCTCCTTTTGTTCGCTGGTTTCGGCACTTCTTTTTTCTTCACGTTTGGTATGGCGGGTTCTAGAGTTAACAGCACAACTTCGCCTGAAAATACCCCGGAGCAGAATGTAGTAGATTAAAGGGGAGATGTAAATAAAGAAAACAACAATGTTTTGCAAAAAAATAAGTGATTTCGTCTTTCAGAGTGTTTTATTATCTTTGAATACTCATATTTTACGTATAAAATGTGAAGGATCAAATGTGATCGTAAAATTAGTCAAATACGCATTTGAAGAACTCCCAATGACCCAGAAAGGAATAAATTTGAGCGACTTTCGTGTACGCGGTTCTTCAAAATTGTGGCGTCGCCCGGCATCACATTTATCTTGATAAATACGCTTGTAGTCGCCTGCTCTCAAGCATTCGCTCTGCTGAATGGGAAAGGGGTGGGAAAAGCTTCCACTTTATTCTTGACCTGTCACCGATTTCAGCCGTCTCCTCTCCGTCGCATTCGTTTTTAGCTTCAATTTCTCACAGAAACCTAATAAAAGAAAGTTATTTTCTCCTGCCGCAAGAGTGTGTCGTTACTCATCTATAGTAATATTTGAACGCGTGTTCTCCTTTTGTAATTTTAAGCCATCTTCGCAGTTTGTGCACAAATATAATTGTTCTTAATAATGTCTCGTCACAACCAAATTCGGCATACGTTCGCTTAAGGAGATGTAGGATGCAACGATCAAGGTTTGGTTAGAATGTATATTTTTATATTTATAGAAAATTTAAGAAACCTTCGTTACCCCTTTCAAAATGGCGTTTTTGCAATTTCCTTTTGTTCTAAAATAGGTGTATCGCCCACATTTTTTATGTTCATTGCACTCACTGGTTTAGAAGGTACGAATTAGCTTATTTTACTTGTCTTTTTTTTTAATGCTGTCATACCCCACGTGTGTGCAAGAACTTTTTTTATGCTGCAAATGCATTGCATCCAGAACATATCAAAACAAGCTATGTAAAAACTAACACCAGATTTATAAGGACTATATCAAGCACTATAAACTGAAAATCGCAGTTGAGTTATTGCAAAAAGTAAACAAAAATGCTTTCCCCTTGCGCATTTCCCCTGAACTTGGATAGCGGCTATTGCATATTTTGACGACAGGCAACACGCCAGCTAAGGCGAATATTAAAAAAAAAAAAAGAAAGTGAATCGGTGTATTTAGGTTATTATTTCACTGATACTTCGCGCTCTCTACCTGGCGTTCCTCCGAGGTCGATAACACTATCTCGAAGAAACCTCTGTGTGCGTCTGTGTGGGTGATATTGCAAGTGCCTTTTTTAGAAGGGAATGTACAGGGCGAAACACCGTGCAAATTCAGTTTAATACCCGGTTCCACTAAACACCGTTCACTCCTAAGGTGGCAGTGCGACGGAAGCTACGTAATCGACGAACCAACCATGCATTTCGCGTCGTGATTATTCTTCAGCCTATACTCACGCACAGAAAGCGGGGCTGCTGATTGGTACGGCGAGCGCGCAGATCTCACCTTTTGCCTGGAAATGGTTATCGACGTACCCTTCTTTTTGTTGCCGCAGTTTTGCTTCAAGAACGACAGCCGAACGATCTGGGAGCAGCAGTCGCAGATCTATCTTGGTGGAGCGCTGTTTTCCGCATTGGCGAGCGCCTATTCTGGCCAGGGACTGATACAGGGTAAGTGCTACACCCCCCTACATTTTCCATATTTCCAAGAAATCTACAGCGTGTATAGACCACTCCAGTAATCGCGCAATATGCGCGCTGCAATCTTCGGAGAGTCTTCCGGGCATGCGGAGGGGTGGCTCGGTTCTGGCGAATATCAGACACCGCGTATGCTTTTATGGTCATGTGACAGCATTTTTCGTCTAGGAGATGAGCGCTGGAAGGGTGTATTCACAGTAACTTTTATTTTCGTTGTAGTACTTTCTCGCAGTAGTACATCTATACTTCGCGAGTGATGCTTCTCCGAATTTCACTATATGTCTTCGTGGGGAAGCGAACAAGTTTTAAATAATTCAGAATTACTCGGAACATTCAAATATGCTATGGGAGTTGAAGACCGAATCAAACATCACGTTAGTTAAATCAAGAGTTCAAGGTTTCAAATGCCACTGTACATCCGCTCAAGGTAATGGACGCAGAGATACATCAGAAATATGCTTACCAAAGTTTTTCAAATGACTTAACTGAAGGTGTTTGCAAGGTATACTTACAAAAAAAACATGAACTATCAATAACTAAAACAATCCAGCCAATCACACTCTCAGACAATAATGTTTCTAATCAGGGAGCCCGCACAGGATTCCAGAATACCTGAATTGGAAGCGTTAGAATAGTTAATAATAGTCAGAGTCGGAGTGCTCGCAGATAGCCACAAGATTTTGTTATCTAGTATATATCCCGCAATCCATATAAACCCTATTTATTTTTTTCAATCTCACTGAGTCGCCGGAATGCACGAAATCGCTTTGAATTAACTGGGGTTTATTCGTAATATAGATATGTTCATATGTGCTGAGCAAAATTCCATTGACCTCTTTCTAGCGAATCAAACACCGAATTGCCTCTTATGACACAAAAAGCTCGCATCTGATTGTCAATGCAATCTTCGTCCAGGGTGTATGTTCACACATTTAATCATCTGCTGGGGTATTTTTGTTCAAAAACAAGGTAATAATTAAGGCGTTCATTCATTGAAGGGGACGAAGTCCCCTGCGCCAGAACTTGAACAATCAGAAATTCAGAACAGTTCAAGTTCAAGAAACGGGGGCATGCTCACCCCCCTTTCCTGTCAGCAAAAATTTCCGCTTTCGCAGCTCTCCTCACGATACCGACGCAGAGACACTAGATAAGGTGCGCTTCACAGTTTCCGTCGCCTAAAATCAATGTTGCTGATGCTTCATCTGAAATAGCGGGAAACTCTTTTCCGTCTGCGGGAAACGTTAAAACCACCCGCGATTAGGCAAGACGATATCACCTGAGTTTCCCGACACAGCATCCAAAACTCCAAAAATCACATTTTCAAATCGCAACTGGGTGATTTCAGATAAGATCGACCAAAGGGTGGCTGGTCGACATTTTTAAATCAACTGATGTTTTTATATGACATTGTCTAGTGTCTGGTATAAACGAATCCACACTTAGTTTTGACCAGAAAAAAAATTTGGAGACAAGAAAAATCGTAAGGCAGGGAGAGGTGGACAGTTGCAATAACGCGCACTGATGGAGGGGGCAAGTTTGAAAGTGAACAATTAAAACAATAAAATTAGGAGAATTTTAAAACTTTTTACAAACAAACTAAGGGTACAACTTGCTTGTAATATAAAGTAATAATATTTATTAAAAATTTATTTAGTTTTCTAAAAATTGCCAAACATGCCTGCTCGAACGACAAATGGCAAACTTTGGAAATCTGTATCTCATGAAATAATTTAATCATTATTACATAACTTGCAGACATTATTTTACTAATATATGGCTATTATTGAAAAAATAAATAAGGTATCTTAGTGACACAATAGTTACAATATATTTAGGCAAACATGGGAAAAAAATCAAAGAAAAATTCCAATGCGAATAAAAAAAAAACACCACCTTCGATTTTTTTTTTTAATTTGGGTATCCTGTTATACTCTATTTCGGCATTCATTTCTATTAAAAACATGTTGCATCATTGCACTGTGAAAGAAGAAACAACTCCCCAAAGTAGGGTCCTTTTTCAAAGCCTACACTTAGCAGTGTCCTATACAAGAAGTGACTCTGAGTTCCAGTTTCATGAAACTTGCACAAATCTTTTATATACATTTATTCAGATGAGGTCATTGATAAAAAGAGCGATCGGTCACACAGTAAAAGGGAGGAGAAACTATATACAGCATTTTACATAAGCGTACAAAGTGGTATCATATTAGAGACTAATGATTTGAGAAAAGATGATGCAGTGTGAAGTTGTACCTTCCGGTATATTTTACATCTAGAGTAAAATAAATAACTTTACTTCCACACACAAAAACAAAGATATAATAGTAAGATATTTAGGTTGGCTGTGTATTTACGATTACAAACAATTTCAGGTGACGGATGCCATAGTGCCTAACTGGAGCAGCTTCGATGCTCTCGGTGTATGAATGAATCGTGGCAAGCCGATATATTTTATCCTGCTCGAGGATAACATTTTGGAATTTTTTTTATAGTGATCAGATAAAAATTATTAGTAACCACCAACAAAAACAGTAGGTTAAATACCCCGTGAAGAAAAATGTGATAAATAAGATGTCCCTGCATTCAAAATGAGCAGTCCTTGGGAAATCAAATTCGGCACTTTACGCTAAGGTTTTCCTCGCTGTACCCATTTAATAAAGTTGCTTCCAAGCAGATCCGACTGTCCGTGCTACATATACGTCACAGGTCCCTTCTGTTGATGACTTGCTGAGCCGCCACGCGTGCCAAGACTGAATGCCAGGGAAGGCGCGCACCGTCAGCCACTCTTCTTCTTTTTGTTCACGATACCGAACAACCTCATTTTCGTCCAGATATACAAGATGCACGCCTTTCAGTTGCTTTGATAGAACGCTCACCATTGTCCTGGCCGTCTGAATTGCGCTTACTGAACGTTCTCTCAGGTTGTTCAGCGTGGCCTGGTGCTTCACGAGTCCGCCAACTCCGTCATATGCATTTTTCCCATGTCCAGATGCAGAAAATAACCACTGGGCGTGTGGGCAATCGTCCTTTGCAAATTGGTGAAGCTGGTAGCGATTCTTGAAATGACTGGCGGCGCCGTCACTTACGTACGTCACGTACGAGTATACCGCAACGTTGTCTTCAACCCACTCCTTCACTTTTTCTAGAGCCAAGCAAGCGTGAGCGGCGTCGTGACACAGGTTCTCACTGATGATGGCAAAGCTGTTTGTAGATTTTCTTGTCGTCACTACACATGTAAATATCGAAACTTGTTTTTTTTTTTTTTTTTCAGTGATATGCTTGCACTTCGTCAGGAAGCACGATGGTCCAGTTTTCAGCAAAGTCAAAATGAAAGACAATGCTCCCGCGTTGCATGCACTGTTTTTCATTGTAGATCGCTTTACCTTGCGTTTTCCGGATATGGTTGTGAAGTACCCAACTTCCAACCGTCACTTGGATGACTTTTAGGAAAGTCTCAGGTTCCAAAGTTTTTTTCACAAGGTCGCCGGACTCCCATGTTGCAAGCACAATCTCTTCATCCTCCGGGATATCAAGTTCCTGGAGTGTAAGAAACTGGCCTTTTGGGCAGTGATCACAGTCTCCTTGAAGGCACAGTTCTGTTCCTGAGTCGCACAGAAATGCCGAGTTCATTTCACCAGTGTTGAATGTTGAGCCTGTAACGTTCTCTAGAGCGGCAATACAAAGATAATAATTGGCGCAGCGCACACAAACGCACACTTCCTGGTGTGGAATAGATTGGACCCATCTAGGGCGCAACGAATAAAATTTCGTTAGCCCAACGCCGGAATCGGGATGCTTGTCTTTGTATATACGGAAGGCCTCTCGTATTGAGCGTGTCATGAAGCGCTTAGGCACGAACGTTTTCTCTCCGTTGAGCATGACAGAGATGACGTCCTTCTGGTTGGGACTTTGGCGCGAACATTGTAGCTCGTCTTTCGTGAAGTACTCTAGGGCAGCAGACAGGTTCTCAGGGCTCACCTTGCACCTCGTGTAAGGATCCGGCTCATACCACACGCCATGCTTTTCTTTGAGTTTTCGGGATTTACTGATCAGGTACATTGAGGCCTGTGGAATCATCTTTTGAACCTCATTCTTCGTCAGTGTTGACGGCAGGAGTGTAAGCAGTTGACAACGTTCCCGGAGAGAGGTGGCGGTTTCAAAGGCCCGCCGAAAGTTGTCCACCCACTCAGTGCATGTGGAGCATGTTGGTTCGGACGACCCCGATGGTGCGTCCCTGCCGTACGCAATACGTAGCCTTGAGCGTATATTCTTGACAGCAACCTGCTCCAGTTCTGTCTGCTTTCTCTTGACATAGGCAGGCCTGTCCCGACTTCTTACGACGCTTGGTTGTCTCAGCGGCGACACATCTGTAGGTAGTATGCTGCGATTTAGATCTTCAATTGCTTCTTCAGCTGGCACAAATATGTCAGGGCACTGCTCTGAGCTTCGCATCGAGATCTCCTTAGTGATGTGCATGAAGCAATGGTAGCACAGGTAGCCCGTCGCACTCACTTTGGTGGAACAGTCAGGCGGAAGAATTTGCTTCAACGAGTTTAGGTCCAACTCGCCAACACTTCGAAAATTCCGCGCTGCTTTGGTATAGTCTTTTTGTGTTTGCAAAAGTAATCTGCACAAAACACTCGTTCGGAGCTCCAGGACGTCTTCATAATGTATACATAAATAATAGAAATTAAACCCCAACTGATGGCATATAATTGCCAAGTGAAAGAACTACTGGGTGCACAAGTGACAAGTCCGAGGCTGAGGAGCTCACTCACTGCAAACGTACATTTGGAAAGAGAGGTCACAACTGAGGCTGTCGGCAAAGCTTGATCCACGTCAAAGGAAGAAAGAGGGAAAGTCTCCAGACAAAAAATTGTGGTCAGCGGCCTTCGAAAAAGACTTTCCGGAATCGCACTGTCGTCCCTCCACGCGCTGATATGAAAGCACCCGAGCTTCTACCACGTGGTTCATGACACAGCCTGAGCCATGTCGGCGACCGGTTCGCGAGGGGTTGGCGGTGGGGTTACGTTGATGGTCACTCGGATTAGCCCTTGCTGTACTGAGCTACCGCCTGCAGTGCCTTATCGCCGGCTGGTGTCAACAACGAGAACACACATACCCTGTCTACACCAAAACTACAAGCGTTCACTGCACACGCGTCGCCGCCGCTTTTAAGCTTTTGTGAAATTGCTTTCTTTTGCCGCGGAGAACCGCCTTATCTTAACTACGCGCCTGAAATCCTTCCAGGCGGGCGTACACAATATCAAGCGTTTCGAGAAATGCCCGTGGAGTAGAACTATGGGAAAATTCGGAGCCCGCGATGTCGATATCGTCGCCGTTGTGTTAGTACGCCGTCGCGTACTGCAGTCCCCCGTTGGGGGAGGGGGGGGGGGGGGGTCTTACTACGATAACATGGCGACAGCGTTTACACTCTATGTATTTACGCGAGGCTCGAGTATTTGGGGATAATGCTGCCGGTTGGTGTGCCCCTTTGTGCCTGATATTATCGCCCGTGACGCCAGCGAGTGAGATGGCGACAGGCATGACTGCTCAGTAAACAGGCGTCGGCGGCCATGTTTTGCTGGTTGAAGCGAACCCCCTTGCCCTTGACAGCGAGCGGGGAAATGCGAAAAAAAGATTGTATCGGCCGTTTCGCCAGAACTAGCGACGAGTGTCGTCTGCGGTTTCCGGCAACTATTTTGCCATAATCGTGAGCTTAGCGAGGAAATGATTTTTGCTAGCCACAGAACACTACCACGCAGAAAGGGAATGCTTGAACATGTTTTTGTTCTGGATATATATCAGGGATATATATGAGAGAGAGAGAGAGAGAGATGAAGGTAGAGCGGAAGAGGGAATAGCATATAGTGTCGCAGGAGATTAAAGTAAACAAAGTTCCTAGTGGCCGATGGCTGCATGATCTTTTCTCGGATCACTAGTCCGTAATATGATACCTCTTTGTACACAGTAGTTTCTCCTTAATTTAAGTGTGTGAACGATTTCTTTAGTTATCATTGGCCTCATCTGAATAAAAATATATAAAAGATGTGTGTTGGTTTCATGAAACTGGAACTCAGAGTCAGTTCTTGTATAAAACACTGCTAAGTGTAGGCTTTGAAAAAGGACCCTACTTTGGGGAGTTGTATCTTCTTTCTCAATAAAATGATGCAACATGTTTTTAATGGAAATGGATGCCGAAATAGAGTATAACAGGTTACCTAAATTTAAAAACAATCGAGGGTGGTTTTTTTTTTTATTCGCATCGGAATTTTTCTTTGTTTGATATTTTTTTCCATGTTTGACTAAATATATCCTAACTATTGTATCACACAGATACCTTAGTTATTTTTTAAATATTAGCTATATATTAGTAGAATAATATCTGCAAATTATATCATAATGATTCAATTATTTCATGAGATACAGACCTCCAAAGTTTGCTATTTGTCGTTCGAGCAGGCATGTTTGTCAATTTTTAGAAAAATAAATAAATTTTAAATAAATATGATTACTTTATACTACAAGCAAGCTATACCCATAGTTTGCGCCTAAAACGTATTAGAGTTCTCCTAATGTTATCGCTTTAGTTATTCACTCTCAAACGGGCCCCCTCCATCAGTGCGCATTAATGCAACTGTCCACCACCTCATGCCTTACGATTTTTCCTGTCCCCAAGTATTTTTTCTAGTCAAAACTAAGTTTGGATTCGTTCATACCAGACACTAGACAATAACATATAAAACATCAGTTGATTTGAAAATGTCGACTAACCATCCTTTGGTCGATCTTATCTGAAATCACCCAACTATCGTCGATATCGTGCCTGCTCTACACTGAACACCAAAATAGCGGCGCCCATTAGAAAATCGTAGAATGGGGTGTCGATATATCTCTGGGTTCTCAAAACAGGGCACCTTTGAGCCAGACATTCCTTAGTATTTGCATTATTGTTTGCAAGGTTTGTGTCATTCTGCATTGTTGTGGTTCACCAATGACGGCACCGGAAGGAATGCCACGGCTGCCATTCGAAGCACACAGCAGTTCCTAAAGATTAAAAAGTTAGAGATCCCCGTTTGAAACGCGGCTTATTCGGCCGCTCTAACCGACGCATAATCACCGCGCCGTCCCCAACCCCGCAGGGACCATCTCGCGGAGCGTCCAGGGGCTCCTGCTGGCGACCATAGCGTTAGCCACGGTCCAGGGCATCACGATAGCGGTGGTCGTGAGGCGGCTCGACAACATCATCAAGTACCACCTGTCGGCAACCTGCAGCGTCCTCAACTCGGTCCTCTCGGCGCTCCTGTTCCCGGACAAGTTCCGCTTCACGACCTCTTACATCGTCAGCCTGTTCTTCCTCTTCACCGCCATCTATCTGTACGAAAAGAAGAGTTTCGTCCTGCCGGACATGTGCAGCCGCAGGAACGGCGCCACGACGGCGCGCCCCAGCGCCAAGACGACTTCGTGACTTACCCTAACTTAGGATGTTAAACATTGTGGGATGCCTCTGACCTTCAAGGTTCAGGACAGACTAGTCGGTTGTGCAGACATACAGAATCGTTCATGTGTTATCGTCATAGAAGTTCCCTTTGCCATCTTGAAATGGAGCTGGGGGTTATTGTATATGTGAGTGTGTTTTCTTTTCTTTTTTTTTTTACCATGCTGCGTTTATTTTCTTAAAGAAGGCGCCAGCATCCATCTTTATTCCTGGCAAAATTAATGTCTTATTTTAGTTGACATCTGGAAAACCCTGAGATAGGGAACGATAAAAAAAACGGACGAACACAACAAAATCTCAAAATTTCCCTTGTAACCCCCATCTCGGGGGTTACAAGATGTCGATTGATTACCAGCTCGCCTGCACTCTCTCACTGCTTATTTTAGTTGATTTTATGTGTGACAAGATGTCGGGACGCGTAGTTACTTCCAGTGGATTTGTTGTCGTTCAAAATGCTACCATTCACCGAGAGTTCTTACGGTCCTTTGAACATTGCAAACTTTATCGATATATTTATTATGGGTTCCGAGAAGTGAGATTGCGCGTTAAAAACTAAACCGGTGATTCTAGCAACTATATTGTTTATAGGAAAAGAAAAGTGGAGGTGTGATCAAATTGTGCAGCATTGTTGCACCTGATGCTTTGAACAAGTGTCCATCTGCTTTTGTGCCGATAGACCGTGACAGTGATGAAAGATATCACATGGTAATGATTGAACGTTGGGGAGAAATCAGCATGTCCCGGAACGTATGGCCAACAGCTGATAACTCTTGTCTAGTCATTCCAGAGAGATGCCAGGTTATAGTGGTTTTCATGAACAAGAGACTGACGAACGACTCAGAATAAATACACTCGCGTGCAATAAAGCTAGACCGTGGGTCTTGCCAATTCATGTGTACATTTGCTGTCCGATTTCAGTATACCACACCAGTGGTAAACGTGTTCTTCAAATGTGCGCAAGTATCATTGATATGTTTACTACTAGAATAATTGCAAAAACACTTATCTCACACAATATGGAAATTGAAGTCAAGATGATTTATAATAAAAGCACCATGTCTTCATCGGGTTCCAGACATTTTATCAAACGCCGTTTCATCTAATTTCGCTCTAAGGCCCATTCACACGCTTGAGCTTGACAAAGACCGAGTGAGACAAGACCGGTTTTTAAGCCTCTTGCGACGGCTGAAGACCGGCTGCTCAGCAATCCAACCGCTCATAAGCCGTCAGAAGACGCCTAAAAACCGGTCTTGTCTCACTCGGTCCTGGTTAAGCGCAAGCGTGTGAACGGGCCTTTACTGAATTTTTGAGCATTACAGGGTGTTTCCATGTTAGACCATGCAATAATTGTCCGGGGCATATTTTTATATATATGTACAAATGTATTTGTAGCGACACATACGGCCTGCTGATGTCGCACAGACGATGACGACGAGGTGGAAATGCCTCTGCAACGCGCGAGATTAAAACATCAGTTCGAATCCAAACGCTGTCCGAGCTGGCTCCTTTCGTTCCAGCTCCAACATATTAAAGCCATCTTCATACAGCGCAAGAAAGCACAAATATAAGACTGACTAAGCTAGGGACAGCATGACTTTCACTGCCCTACCATAGAGCAGCCCCGCTGTACAGCCTTTGTCAGTTGTTTAAAATGTCTCCTTGGAGCCGATGTCGTGCGGCATAGGCACTATAACGAAGACAAGCTAGCTCAATTTGGGTGAAGGTATGTTACTCAATGTTTTGCCATCACAAACTAGTTCAAGTCAATGTAAACTGTTAAAGGGATGCTTTAACGAAATTTGAAATATTCCCGTCGTGTTCAAAAATAGACGCTTTGCAGCAGCTGTGCATGGGCGCTGCCATAACTGACCTTCAGTTTTTGTACCCCCTTATTACGTTTACTTCACTTCATTATTATCATAGCAGGCCAGGTTATTGACATCTTAGATTTCATTCTGTCTTGCTCCCCAGCATTGGTCTTTGTGATGGCTCGTCCACACCAATTTCAGTGGCTCGGTATCTCGATAAAACAAGAGAAGGTCAGCAATGGCGGCTGTATTCTGGCGCGTGTGCAAAGCGTCTATAGGTTGAATATGATCCACAATATCGGTAAATGACAATCGCACGTTTGTATTTTGAGCCTGGTGGCTGTATTTTTCGTTATAAACGGCCCACTCTGGCAAGCGCTTGGAGAAGGCCCAGCGGAGACCACGTGACATCCAACGCAATCGTGACGTAGGTCGTCTCAAGACGAGCAAAGCTACGGCGAGGCTGACGTCGAGAGGGTGGCCTAGTCGTTCCAGCCACCGAAGCGGCTGCTTTTGTACGAATTTTGAGCGACGGGTTAATCTTCTATAATCTTGTAGGGGGACAATAGCGACTTCTGCGACACACAAAAGGCATTCTCCGAAAGGGGAGTTCCTCCTGCCTCTCTTCTCTCGTCGTGGCCGGAGGCGAGACAACCTCCGTCACTAGCTGTCAAGGTTCCTAGACGGGCATTACAAGCGAGGTGTTAGCGACATCCACCAGGTGCTCTTTGCTAATCATTTAATTCGTTTTAAAATTCCTTTTCGTGACTTTTTTAACAAGATATTGGTATGTTCGATCTGATGCTGCTCCTTTGAACACATATAGACTAAAAAATGAGCGACGAAATTTCGTTGTAGTATCCCTTTAAAGGGCTACTCCACCGATTTTTTGAGCTACCTCAACTAACTATATTTTCTGACTCCCCGGCCTTTACTCTCTCCGGTATGTTATTTAGAATCGCGAAATTCATAATAGGTATTGTGAAATCGGCAAATGAAAATGATGCAAAAACCAACATTCAAATATACGCGCACTTTTCAGTGCCGTGACGTCAGTGGCAGGCAGGCTTGCCAGTCGAGCAAGCAACCAAAAAATAGAATCTGCCAATCATTTGTTCCGTGCTGGAGCGCGTTTACTGCAGCGAGCTTCCCAAGCATTTGTTTGACACCATGAAACTGCTTCGAATCAGTTTAAAACAAAATCTACAGCCCAAAGAGTGAACCCCTGCCTTCCACTGACGTCACTTTTTCGTTGTTGCCAGTAGAGACTTCGAGCTTGAAAAACACGGTGAGGACCAAAACTGTAAATTCAATAGCTTTGCAAAAAAAACAATATTTTGACCTAATATTTGGGATGCTATTTTCACGATGTTTGTTGGTTAGTTTAGCGAAATTTCAAGCAAATCGGAGACAATGAAAAAACCAGTGGTTAAATGAAATGAGAAATTATATAAATGAGCTGCGTAGCTGCACTAATAACAGAACAACAATAACGTATAAGCATAATTTTCTTGTATACTCGTAAGATGCTGTTAAACATGATCATTTCGATGTTTTTAAGTCGTTTCATATGAAGTAGTTTGTTGGCAAGTACTTCATGATTCAGTCTTTAAAACGTGTGTATTTAACGTGTTTCGTAACTCTATTTTTTTTCCGTATAAAGCTTTTATTGTATTTTTTTAAATATTGTGTGTACATGTAGTCCCTTTAGAAAATAATTACATAAATTAAAATTGTAAAACGTAAAATTGACGGCTGTGCAAAGTACCATCTATAGCGAAGCCTTGGCAATCTCCACGCCGCAAACTTCGGAATTTTATATCTCCAGAAGAAAATTAGCAACGGCGTTTGCACATAACTGAATACTCCACCAAAGAACATGGCTTTAACATCTATTTTTACATGAATATTTAAAAAAAGGACCCGGACCATCCTTGCACAATCTGACATGGAAACAGGAGGACCAAGCACATCGGTGCACTTTGAATCAACCTCACGACCTGCCAATGATCCTCAACGAGTAGTTGCAAGCGCGCTATCCTTTGATAAATTGTTTTTATATATCTTCACTCACTGTCCTTTGAGAGCTCTAATTGCAGCCACCGGCCAAAAATACATTTAGTTCACGGCTCCCGTTCGCGGCGGCTTCGCAGAGGAGGCTTCACAGAAGATGATCGGTGTCACGGCGTACCTTTACACACCTCTTCTTCTTTTTTTAATGCGAAAGCATTAACTGTTTTATGGAGCGAGCCGACGTCATCAGCTTTGAAGCCGCGCCAAACGGCACCTAAACTCCTTTCTCCAAGTGATGCCGAGATCTGATGGCTCCCAGCTTTGAAGCCGCGCGAAAAGTCTAGCCCAAACGGCACCTACTTTCCCTTCTCTCAATGGAGGAAAGCAAAACCGAAATCTGATGGGTTGACACTGCAATCCGATTGGCTGGCGCGCATCATAGTTTGAAAAGACGAGGCTTCGATTGGCCGGCGCTCGTCAGTTTCAAGGAAGGCCACCCCATGACGCTGCGGGCCCTTGCCGCCCGTGCGCCGGCAAAATAAAGCGGCGCAGCCCCATGGCTCTATGGGCCCCGCGCCGGTAAAACGGACACGGTGGCGCCCGCTCGGCGGTTTCTGCTCGTCTCGTCGCCGACGAACATGGTGCCGCCTCCAGCATCCACATCGTCGGCGCCCGCCACCTCGGCAATGACGCAACCTGCCCGTTCACGCAACTGCAACGCAGACGGGGAGCGGAACAACGACATGCACGGTTTCGCATTCACAACTCATAAGTGCTTAGGCGTACCTCGAGCCTTTTTTTTTTTTTTTTTTTTTTTTTGTTATTTGTTACAAACGTCTTCTCATAACGACATCAACATCTTCGCAAACAGAAAAACCGACGACGCAAACGAGGCGTCAACACGACAACATTGTTTCCATGGCTTCCACCGTGCTTGTTTTCTAAGACCAGGTAGTACTTTAAAAAAACGATTCGAGCAATTTTAGCTATATTTACTTTACCTGATAATCTTTCAAGCAGTGTTTGAAATTGTATAATAGAATTATATTATTTTATTCGCTTCAGCGCTCGAAGGAAAGATCGAAGAGAGCAGAAAAACAGTGGGAAATGGGGGGATTTCTCTACCCCAACTGCGTATCCGCGCCATCGCCACGTAAGGAGATCGTGAGATTCGAGATGGCCACGTCCGCCAACCCGAACATTGGGGTGGAGTTTCAAACACGAATATTTCGAGTTTCAGGCTCCGCCCCAACGTTGGAGTTACGTCACAACTCGAAAGATTCGTGTTAGAGACGAGGATAGCACCAGCAGGTGTCTATTATGCTCCAAACGCTTTTGTTCACGTAACCCACGTTCCGTGAACGCGACGCCGATGCCCAAAGACCTCACCGTGACGTGTCGCAGCTATCGCTGTCACTGTACTTTTGATTAACAATGGACTGCTCAATTCCTTTTATGGACCCATTGTAAAAGCCTGAAGTTGTTTACTTGGTCTCCACAGTGGCTGTGAGGCGTCTTATACGCAGCAGGGTTAATACACTAGGGAATGGCAAACAATGCACGTTCGCACATTTGAAAGGATAAAGAAAGAGTCGCTCGAAGGGCATGTCGACCCGCCCTTCTTGGGACAATGTACTCTTACTCGCACGTGAATAAACCCAGCAGCGCAGTGTGCTTTGTTCTCTGCTGCCCCTCCTTTCCATCTCAGCGTTTAAATTTTAAGCTAGGTTCCCAGCCAGTATGCATGGCTTTTGTTAAAATTCGCAGCGTGGCTAGACAATTAAACAATGTAAAACTTTGACACCCCATACCGAGGGAATAGAGAAGGCGAAACAAATGGTTCTCAAGTCAACAACCTAAAAAGCTTATTGTTAAGTTTTTATATGTCTATTTGCGCACACTTTCAGCGGCGAACCTTGCTCAGTTGTATTTATTAGCACTCTTCGCTTTCTTTTTGCTAGGAAAGTCAAGATCGTTGCGAACACTCCCCCGTCTCTAAACACAAGCGGGAGTGACATTCATCCCCAGGAAAGTGTAGTGGCGTGCTCGCCCAGAACTGAGGGTTTTGTCCTTCGGAGACTTCTCAGATGATCCGTCTCATAAACTTCTTTCTTTTTGTTCGCATTGCCCTTAGATTATCTGGTCTAGAATCTCGTTGCCGTGCTTAGGGAAAGGTTTCTCTAGGGACTAATTGAAGCACCATGATGCGCGCTACCAACGTTGGGAGTCAACCAAGGAGATCGCTC